GAGAGAGAGAGAGAGAGAGAGAGAGAGAGAGAGAGAGAGAGAGAGAGAGAGAGAGAGAGAGAGAGAGAGAGAGAGAGAGAGACCACAGGGCCCCCTGCAGATAACTCAAGTGGCTCCGACATTGTGGAGGCATTGAGTATCATCGCTTCAGCGAGCAGGATGGCCGCGTCATATATGGGAGAGGTGGGAGCAGACCACCAATATATTCTGTGGGTGCGAGTTCAGGTCGGTAGCTCGGGAGTTACGGGTCACCAATTCAGCTAGACCCTGTTTGTGTCTCCACGTGATTCTCAGAGCCTAGCTCCACCACTCAGTGGTACTCATCAAATGTATAACATTAGAATGAATCTTCTGCTAAAACATGGAACCATACACCGTCAAATGGTATGTCTTTTGTGCATGTGGTGAGTAGTGGCGAGTGGTTCCTTGGGCCACTGTTACTTGGGCCACTGTACGTATTCAGAAGAAAACAAAAAGGAAAAAACGAGAGAGCTACAGGCATCTTCATCCTAACCCATAACTGCCGACATGCAGACCTGAATGCCAATCTTCAGCATATATTGGTGGTCGGCTGGACTCTCCAAACATGGTGTGTGCCTTCTGCGAGACAGTGTGGGGCATGGCACTACTAGGCAATAATACCCTTCTTCAAATTTGTCCACCGCTGTGTGGGATTTGCAGAAGGAAAGGGGAAGTCCAGTTACCACACCCCACCTAAAAAAGAAAACTGGAATGAGCCTCACTGAGCCCTTTTTTTTTCCCTTAAAACAGGTCCTTATGGTCCTGGCTCCATGTCCATTCTGGGGAGCGTCAGTCCGGTTCCTATTCCCCCGGCAAGTCAATAATGAATACATCATAGGACACACTCACGCTTCCTTCCGTCTGGCCGAAGGAACCCTGACCAGCATTGATTACTCCTGTCCAGGAGGATTGACTGTCAGCTTGCCCTAGTCTCCTATTCTCTCAGATACGCCCTTGGGTTCTGTCGATTGTAACAATAATGGTCAAGAAGAAGACTGTGGCTTTGCTGCCTTGTGGGGCTTGCTGGGTTGTCCGGAGTCCTCGGGGAGGACGGCTGCTTTCACCGTGTCATCGTACTCTTGGGGGCGGGAGCTGGTGCCATTTCTTCCATATCAGGCGGTTGCCCGTTAYGYTTGCTATTCTGCCCCTTATCAACCAATCCTTGTAGAATGTTGTTCTCCTGATTGCATGTCCCTCAGGGAGTCTCCTTGATGCTGCGATGACCTTGCGCCATCTGGCCCGAATTTCAGTTTCCGCCATCTTGACTAGTATCGCCCACATTTCCTCCTTGGCAAC